ACAATGGATTATGGGGAGAAATTGGTCTTGACATGACTCATAAATATGCAAGACATACATTTACGCAACAACAACATATGGATACTGGTAAAAAAAATACATACAAAGGTGCGGTTGTTTTGGATCCAATTGTGGGTGTTCATAAAAGTACTCCCACGACAAGTATTCACGTGTTAGATTTTGCATCGTTATATCCTAGTATTATTATAGATTATAATTTGTGTCGGGGTTTTGTGACTCGTATTTCCCGCGAAACATTTATGTGTTTAACTTCGTGTGAACGAGATCTTTTTAATGTACTTGAGATGGCCGAAGATCCCTATTTTATTTACCTAAGCGTGAAGGTACGCACTGACCAACCATATACCGAGTCTCCTTTTCGCCGTATATGCGAAAGTTTAATTAAAACACGTAAAATATTGAAATCTAAATCTTTAACTACTCAGGCTAATGCATGTAAGGTCATGGTTAATTCTCTTTATGGTGCCATGGCATCCCAAGGAATATTTGAAGATGCAATAGTTCCATCGATGGTAACAGGATATGGGCGCTCTCATTTAAATAAGGCGCGTAATTTCTTTGAGAGAGAGGGAGCTACAATTTTATACGGTGATACCGACTCTCTGTTTCTATCATTACCCCGTACTGTTGGTGATGGTCCATTTATAGCTTCACTCTATAATGAAAATTTAAGAAAGGATAACGATAATATTCGTTATTTACAGTTGGCGTATGAAGATTCATACGGAGTTCTCGTTATGATAAGTAAGAAACGTTATATGGCTATTCAACAAAAAGACAAACAGGATGAATGTAAAATTAGTGGATTTAAGAAAAAGATGAATGTGAGGAACCACACAGATAAAATGCAATTAATACAGAATATATTAATTCTTTTACGCGATCACAATATTAATGTACCCGAAAAAATATTAACCCTTACTGAGAAATGGTTTACTAATATAATAATGAAAAATAAAAGTGATACTGAAGAAGAAGAGAAATTTATACGCAGTATAAAGCTACGTCCCCTCCACGCTTATAAATCAACAACAAGCGTTCATTATTGTTTTGGTATTTCTATAGAAACAATTCAGCCGGGTATATTGACAGCTGAAGCAGGCACACACGTGTCCTACTACAATTTGATACCTCTTATTCCATTTAAACAACTTCCCAGAAAGAGTGTTCGAATGTGTCCACTAACAAATTTCAATCCTCAGCTTCATTCAATAGACAGATCAGAGGGTATTATTTCTGATATAGGTCAGATAATTAATTGTTTAATACAGGCGATATTAATTGAATATAATATTCAAAGACAAAATAAACAAGTAAAAAGGAAAGGTGGTGATGATCTATACATAGAAGGATTAATTGAAAAATATTTAGAAGAGGAGCGGTTTCGTTTATATGAAAAATACAGGTCGATTGGTTATTATGTATATAATTTTAGCGCCTGTAAAACTTCCCTCATACCTAAAATAGATATATCTGATATCTGGCCTAGCTTTTTAGAAACTGTTTCTTCGTTAAATATTCCTAAAAATCAATGTTGGTGGAGATCTTCTGGGAGACAGTGTATTTTATTAAATGTAATTTTTCATATTGAAGAAGAAAGGACTAAAATAACTTTAACGAGTGATCCCCAGAGGCGAGGATATTCTAGTCTTCGACAACTAGAATCAATACTAACAATTAGACCTAAAATTCTTCAAAAATACATTTGTATTACCTCTCCTTCTCCATGTTATTCTATTAATCCCATATCAATGAAGGAGGTTGTATCATTTTTATCGTTTGTTTATAGCCTAGACAACGATTGTTTAAAACGTATAACATTATATCCTCCTCCTCCTCCTCCTCCTCCTCCTCCTCCTCCTTCTTCTTCAAACTCCTCTCCTCTGCTGCTTTTATCCAATCCCGTAAAGTGGTTAATAATACTACCATTTATTACTTTAAGGTGTTCTGGTACGAAATTAGAGTATGTGTATTATTAATTAAAAATAAAATTTATTATATGAATTACTTTCTTTTTTTTCTTACATCATTTTTCGAGGTTTATTGAAAAAAACTAAATTACAAATTTAGGAAATATCTTTTCATCCATTAATAATTTACAAGTGATAGGTATTAATGGGTCAATTTTTTTTCATGCCTATGCTGTGTACCTAATGATGATGATGAGTCTGTGATAATTCAAGTAAATTAAAGTTCATTGATAGTATATAATGTTATAAATATTTGGGAAGTACAAAAACAACATTATTATTATTATATAAATCAATTTAATTAAAAAACATAGATATAGAAAAAAAAATTACTTAACCTGATAAATTTTCTTTATGTGTGAGACAAATTGTACACTGACTTGATAATGAATAAGGATTATCGAAACAGGAACAAAATGCCTTGGGAGCATTACATGGAATACACCATGGAATGAAATGATTATGACACCAGTTGGTAGACCACGGCGAATCATCTCTAGTTTTTTTCCAGTCATATGTATCTGGTTTAACAATATACTTAACAGGCTTTGAATTCCCAAACTTATAACCATACCATATATCCTCATCTTCACCCAATCCATGTCGTATTCTCCAAGATTTAATAGTAGATTCTTTATCTAGTTTATTTAGATCTATATATTCGAGTAATTGGTTTAAAATACTCCCTTCTAATTTAGGTTGAATATAATATTCATTCAAAAAATCAAAGTCAAAATTTCCGAAGATTAAACTGTCTAAGATACGCAGTCTTAATTCAGGTTTTTCTTCTCTAAAATCCAGCCAATCCATTTCTCCCTCATGAATAGATAGTAGATAGTAGGCTGCTTATATATATCCAGTACGCACGTTAAAAATTTTTCAATGTTTTTCCACTGTTACATTGAATTTGACTGATGTTTCAGGGTTTTTCTCGTTGTCAATATCCTTGGCCCACATATTGCAAGTAATTTCAACTGTGGTGTTAATTTCATTTTTAAGATTCAGCTGCAATGCAACTATAGGTTTCCGATAGCCTGTTAGGTTTGTATTGGAGAAGAATGATTTTGGGAAACCAGGACCGTAGTAGGAGTGAATTCCAAGTAATGTGCAAGACACCCATATAACCTCTTGCATGGTATTATTATTGGTGTAAGTGATGTCTTTAATTTTGTCTCTAAGTCGATGGGGCATCTGGCTGGGTAATTCCGTAATGTCATCGTAAGGATCAAATTTTGTATTTGTTTTCCCATTGTAAGACAATATGATGCAAGGAGATGTTGTGTTGTAGTTCCAAACATTTTCTGGATTACATTCATGTCCCAGTATTTCCTTTGGCAAAATACAGACTTGTGTAGCATTTGGTTCAACTCCTGAGGGACATGCAATTACCTCTGTATCATCAGCTTTGGTAGCATTGTTGTAGTAGTCCATTAAAAATTGATTTAAAGAAGATATTTCCTCTTCATACGTGCTCTTCTGATTAGGATTAAACTTTATATTTCCTGAAGGTATGACAAACAAACCCTCTTTCTCTGCTGTTACAGCAGAGTTACATGTTACAAAAGTCACCACCACCACTATTAGACATACAACTATGAAACAACCACCACTTATTACAATTGTTGCTTTTTTGTTTGAAGAAGATATTTTCTCTTTAAGGTATAGATAACATTTCCTTGGAGTTTCACTTGGCACTGTTATCATATTTCTGGACATGTTACCGTACCAAAACATCTTCTTCCTTTCTTCCTTTTAGTCCATCCAGATTGATACAGATAGGATTCCTAAATGTCAAAGTGTGTCTGACCGGTCATATCTTTGTGCTCTTCTTTATATATAATTATGGTGGGTGAGTTGGACGGATGAACAGACAGATAGACAGACAGACAGACAGACAACTACCTGCCTCGGCCTCGAAAATAAAAATTAAAAATAAAATTTATTATACAAATATATATACTCCCGATTTCTTACTTCTCGAATTACTTTCTTTTTTTTCCTTATAACATGGGGGTACATCATTTTTCGAGGTTTATTGAAAAAACTAAAATTGAATTATCTGTGGACAAAAAAGAACATTTAATTACAAATTTAGGAAATATCTTTTCATCCATTAATAATTTACAAGTGATAGGTATTGATGGGTCAATCCCAAAAATTGGAATTGGAAAATTATACAACTGATTTATTAAAAAATATATATTTAAATAAAATAAATACATCATCTTATAACTTTAAATTGTATTCAACAGCTGGAATATCTTATTATGAAAGACTCGAAGGAGAAATTGCTCTCTATCGGTTTATTAATAAAACGTTTATTGAAAAAGAAATTTACAATAGTTTTTCTGTAATTATAAGTGGTGATTCTGATGTTACTGCTATGACTATTTTACGTAATGAATATAGACTCTTACTCATCCACCCTTCCTTCGGTACTAATAATAGAAAATCAATTGGTTTAGGAAATTATAATTCAATGATAAAACATATGGGGTTCAATAGTGATCAATGTCTCCGATATTTAATTTTACATTTCATATTTTTTGGTAGTGACTATAATGTTGGTTTAGTTTCCTGTTGGACACCATCTAAAGGAGAAATTATTTTAAAATCTATAATGGAAAATGAAAATAATATTTTGAATATATATAAAAAATTTCGGAGAAATCGATCTTTAGGTGATGAGTCTGTGATAATTCAAGTATTTGGATGTACTGATGTAATTAAAGAACACCATTTTAATGTTCTTTTAAAATTAGTTATAATCGAAGCCATTGATAGTATAAAATATTATAAATATTTGGGAAGTGATACAAAAACGACATTATTATTATATAAATCAACTTTAATTAAAAGCTTACTAAAATATATGAGAATATGATATGTTTATTTTTTGGAAACAAAATTGATAATGAATAAGGATTATTGAAACAGAAACAGGAACAAAATGCCTTTGAGTCGGCTTACTGTTTGACATATATATCCAGCACGCACGTTAAAAAATTTTCAATGTTTTTCTACGGTTACAGTGAATTTGACTGATGTTTCAGGGTTTTTCTCGTTGTCAATACCCTTGGCCCACATATTGCAAGTAATTTCAACTGTGGTGTTAATTTCATTGCAAAGAAACAGATTCAATGCAACTATAGGTTTCCGATAGCCTGGTAGGTTTGTATTGAAGAAGAAGAATTTGGGGAAACCAGGACCGTAGTAGGAGTACCATGTGCTACCGAATGTGCAAGACACCCATACAACCCCTGGCATGGTATCATTATAGAAGTACCTTTCTTCTTTAATTAGGTCTTTAAGTAGATTGGGCATCTGGCTGGGTAATTCCTTAATGTCATCGTAAGGATCAAATTTAGTTGTTGTTGTTTTCCCATTGTAAGACAATATAATGCAAGGAGATGTTGTGTTGTAGTTCCAAACATTTTCTGGATTACATGAATATAAGTAGCGCTCTGGCAAAATACAGACTTGTGTAGCATTTGGTTCAAATCCTAGGGGACATGTAATCACCTGTGTATCATCAGCTTTGTAGTAGTCTATAAAAAATTGATTTAGAGAAGATATTTCCTCTTCATACGTGCTCTTCTGATTAGGATTAAACTTTATATTTCCTGAAGGTATGACAAACAAACCCTCTTTCTCTGCTGTCACAGCAGAGTTACATGTTACAAAAGTCACCACCACCACTATTAGACATACAACTATGAAACAACCACCACTTATTACAATTGTTGCTTTTTTGTTTGAAGAAGATATTTTCTCTTTAAGATAACTTTTCTTTGGAGTTTCTCTTGGTACTGTTATCATATTTCTATACATGTTACCGTACCGAAACATCTTCTTCCTTTCTTCCTTTGTCCAGATTGATACAGATAGGATTCCTAAATGTCAAAGTGTGTCTGACCGGTCATATCGTTGTGCTCTTCTTTATATATAATTATGGTGGGTGAGTTGGACGGATGGACAGACAGATAGACAGACAGACAGACAGACAACTACCTGCCTCGGCCTCGAAAATAAAAATTAAAAATTAAATTTATTTTACAAATATATATACTCCCGATTTCTTACTTCTCGAATTACTTTCTTTTTTTTCCTTATAACATGGGGGTACATCATTTTTCGAGGTTTATTGAAAAAACTAAAATTGAATTATCTGTGGACAAAAAAGAACATTTAATTACAAATTTAGGAAATATCTTTTCATCCATTAATAATTTACAAGTGATAGGTATTGATGGGTCAATGTTTTTTCATGCCTATGCTGTACCTAATGATGATGATAATAAATTATTGCCACAAACAGTTGTTGATATTGAGAAAACGAGTCATAAAGTCTGTAATATTATACTTAATTATATAAAAGTTATTATACATATTTTAAATAGTGGAGATGATTCTAATAATAATAGTAATAAAACAATTTTTTTATATTTTGTTATGGATGGTCATTCGAATGTTGAAAAAAATAGGAAATTGTGTAGTGAGAAGAATAGAGATATTTTTTCAAAAATGACAATATCCCAAAAATTGGAAATGGAAAATTATACAACTGATTTATTAAAAAATATATATTTAAATAAAATAAATACATCATCTTACAACTTTAAATTGTATTCAACACAGCTGGAATATCTTATTATGAAAGACTCGAAGGAGAAATTGCTCTCTATCGGTTTATTAATAAAACGTTTATTGAAAAATAAATTTACAATAGTTTTTCTGTAATTATAAGTGGTGATTCTGATGTTACTGCTATGACTATTTTACGTAATGAATATAGACTCTTACTCATCCA